TTTTCAATTATGCTCTAACTAGCCATGGATTTTAGATCACTCATACCGGACAACCATCTTTTAGTGCACATTCTGCACGGGTTCCTACAACGATTATTCCAAGTGTCCGGGGCAAACTCAGTGCCAGTAGCCACGCTCGCAGAAAGGTTGTTTCGAGTGTGATGATACAAGGCATATTATAAGAGATTATCCCAGACTTCGGATGCGTGGACTTCATCAGGGTACTCAGGCTATAGTTCCCACTCCAGTTAATACTCCACTTGCAGTGCCAGCTAGAGGTGGAGGACTGGTGTGTAGAGGACGTCCTAGAGGGGAGGCCAGTCCTGTTGTTATGCTTTCCCTAGTAGGACTAAGGAAATTGCATCAGATGCAGTCATTACATGTATTATTCTGGTCTGTCATAGAGATGCATAGATTTTATTAGATTCGAGTTCTACTTATTTGTATGTATCATCCTAATTTGCTTCATATTTAGATATGTCTCTTGATTATCTGGATACTCATATTTATGTGTCAACACCCATTGGGGATTCTAATATGGTGGACCGTGTCTATCGTTCTGGTTTAGTCACTATTGTGGACTACTAGACTAAGGTTGATCTTTTATTTATTTAATATGATGGATTTCGATGTGATTTTGGGCATGGATTGGTTATCTCCATATGACTCTACTCTTGATTGCCATGCTAAGAGTGTGACGTTAGCTATGCCGGGGTTGTTGGGGTTGTCGAGGTTGGAATCGAGAGGTTCCTTGGGTCAAGTTCCTAGTAGGGTAGTGTCTTTTCTGAGGGTTCAACAGATAGTTAAGAAGAGGTGCTTGGCGTACTTAGACTTTTTTAGAGATGTGAGTGTTGATACTCCCACGGTTGATTAAGTCCCCGTGGTGAGGGATTTTTCAGATGTTTTCCCTGCAGACTTACCGCGCATGCCACCCGATAGTGATCTTGATTTTGGTATTGACTTGGCACCGGGCACTCAACTCAAATCTATTCCACTGTATTGCATGGCTCCAACAGAGTTGAAGGAATTGAAGGAATAACTGGAAGAATTGCTAGATACATGTTTCATCATGTCGAATATGTCACCTTGGGGTACTCCAGGTTTATTTGTGAAGAAGAAAGACAATTTCATGAGAATGTGTATTGACTATCAACAGTTGAACAAGGTTACTATCAAGAACAAGTATCCACTGCCACATATTGATAATTTATTTGATCATCCTCAGGGTGCTAGGGTATTCTCGAAGAATGACTTAAGATCGGGGTACCATTAGTTGAATATCAGGGCTTTAGATATTCCTAAGACGACCTTCAGGACCCGTTATGGGCATTATGAGTTCTTGGTGATGTCTTTTGGGCTGACCAATTGTAATGACCCGACCTGTCGTTTTATTTTTTTAGAACCCTGTTCCCTTAAATAAGACTCCCCGTATGTACTTTTACTATTTTATGACTTGCGGGGATGGTTAGTTCGAGATTTGGAAGGGTTGGGATTGAAATCGGAACACTTAGTTCCTTAAGTTGGCCTTAAAAGGTTAAGTTTGACTTCGGTCAACATTTTGAGTAAACGACCTCAAAATCGGGATTTGACGGTTCCAATAGGTTCATATGATGATTTCGGACTTGGGTGTATGGTCGTAGTGAAAGTTTGTTCTTTGAAGGTTTTGAAGTTCTTCAAATTTGGTTTGGAGTTGGTTTTTGTGATGTTGAGGTCCAAATGGGATTCCGAGACCAGGAATAGTTTCGTATGGTGATTTGAAACTTGCACACAAAATTTGGTGTCATTCCGAGTAGTCTAAGTATGATTCGCGCATTCGGAGCAATTTGGAAACTTGGAGTTCATTTTTTTATTCAATTTGATTTTGGGGTGTGATTCTTGGTTTTGTTGTTGTTTTACATGTTTCGAGAGTTTGAGTAAGTCCGTATTATGTTTATAGACTTGTTGGTGTAGTTGGACGGGGTCCCGAGGGGCTCGGGTGTGTTTCGGACCGCCCAGAGTTGAGTTGAAAACACCAAATTTTATGTTCTGGTTTCCTTCTTCGCGAACGCGGACAGACCCTCGCGTTCGCGGTGAAGGATTTGGGGACTGGAGGTTTTTTCCCTTCGTGTTCGCATACGCAGGGATGCATTCGCGGAGGCCTGGGCCCTTTGGCCTTCGCGTTCGTATTAAGCAGACCGCGTTCCCGTAGAAGCCTGGGCCTGGGCAACCCAGTTGCCTTACGTGTTAGCGTGTTGGGCCCCGCGTTCGCGAGGAGTAGGCGGCGCAGTGCATCGCATTCGCATGGGTCCTCTTGCGTTCGCGTAGAGCCTTTTCCTAGGCTCTTCAGTTTATCCATCGCGATCGCGAGAGCTTGGCCGCGATCGCGTATAAGGACCCCTGGGCAGAATCATCTTTTAAAAACGGGACTTAGGCTATTTTGGCTCATTTTCTTTCATTGCTGGGCGATTCTTGGAGTTCTTAGAGAGGGGATTTCACCTAGCACTTTGAGGTAAGTAATTTCCACACAATATAAGTTTAATATATAGTTCATGGGTAGATTATAACATGTAAATTGGTGAAAATCATGGGTTTAGGTGAAAACCTAGGTTTTTGACAAAAATGAGATTTAACCACTGAATTTGTTATGGAATTTAGTAAAAATCATACATTTGAGTTCATGAGGTTATGGGTAACAATTTTCTTCGAAAATTTCCGGAATCCGGACACGTGGTCCCGGGGGTGAATTTTGGGAATTCTTCAATTGGGGTTGGGTAATCGCTTTAATAGTTAGAATATGAACTTTTGAGCCTATATTGACTATTTTATATAACATTCGACTAGTTTCGAGTCATTTTGGTACCAAATAGAGGGTTTGGGCACATTTTTGGACCAGGAAGTAGGCCTTGAAATGAGGTAAGTCTCTTTTCTAACCTTGTAAAAGGGAATTAACCCCATAGGCGAACTTAATCATTATGTACTTCTACTTGTGGGGGTTACGTATGTATGAAGTGATGAGAGTCCGTGTAGATTTAGTCTTACACCATGTTTTTGTTGATACTGTTGCTTGTTTATGCTTACTAATTGTTTGGATTAAGGCGGAGGTTGAGGATTTCAATATTTTAAAGGTTCCTAGCTAAATTAAGGAATTGAGAAATATTATGATAAATTGAAAAAATCTATATTCAACCGCTTCGCAAGTATATTCCGCGAGCGGGGTAAATTTTCACTACTCTCATGGGAGCGGGCCGTTCACCTCAGCAGGTTAATTGATATATCTATGGTTCGGGCTATTCGACCCTCAACAATGCACAATATATTTATATGTATATTTGGATCGGGCTGTACATCCTCGGCATAATTCGTGCGTAAAGATATTGGAACCCCTTTATATTTAATATTGTTCCATGGACTTGAAAGGTGAAAGGACTAGATAAGAGAAATGACTTGGTTCTTACTTCAAATGAAACAATTGTTTACTTATTTTCTTGTTCTAAGTTCTATTATCATTTTATATATATATATATTATATTTAATTAGAACTTCATACTATTATATTTTTGGCCCATAGTAAGTGTCGAAGTCGACCCCTCGTCACTACTTCTTCGAGGTTAGACTAGATACTTACTGAGTACATGTTGTTTATGTACTCACGCTACACTTCTGCACTTGATGTGCAGGATCTGAGGAAGGTGCATCTGGTTATCAGTCCGGCACGCACGCTTGACTTCTGGTCCGAGACCACACGGTGAGCTGCCCTTCCGAGCCGGTCAACAGCAGCCAGAGTCTCTCTTTTGATTTATTTTCTGTCTATTCTATTTTAGACAGTAGAGTAAAGATCTTTTGTATATTCTACTAGTAGCCCACACACTTGTGACACTAGATATTGGCACACACTAGTAGACTTGTGATTTTTGTTTTATTCCTATTGCCATAAATACATTCAGCTGCTTTCATTTTATTGAATTAAATCTGTTTCTTAGTAAACCTATTAAATTAAGGAAAGTTATTTACTTGGGAAAAACGTATAAAAATGGGAAAATCACTAGATTGTTCACTGTTGGCTTGCCTAGCAATGGTGCTGGGTGCCATCACGACCTAAAATGAAATTGGGTCATGACACCAATTCCCAGCTTTCATGCATTTGATGAAAAATGCATTTCAACCTTATCTGGATTCATTCATCATTGTGTTCAATGATAATATATTGGTGTATTCTCGTAGCTAGGATGAGCATGTGCAGCATTTGAGGATCATGCTTCAGACTTAAAGGGGGAATGAACTGTATGCTAAGTTCTCCAAGTGCTAGTTCTGGTTAGACTTGATGGCATTCTTGGGTCACGCGGTGTCCAGTGAAGGGATTAAGGTGGATCCGAAGAAGATTGAGGCAGTTTAGAGTTGGCCCAGGCCTTCTATCGCTACAGAGATTCAGAATTTTCTAGGGTTGGCTGGGTATTATCACCGCTTTGTGGAGGGGTTTTCATCTATCACAGCCTTATTGACTAAGTTGACCCAGAAAGGTGCCCCATTTAGGTGGTCTAACGAGTGTGAGGAGATCTTTCAAAAGCTCAAGACTGCCTTGACTACAACTCCAGTTCTGGTTTTGCCTTCGGGATTGGATTCATATACATTCAATTGTGATACTTCACGGGTCGACATTGGGTGTGTGTTGATAAAGGATGGTTGGTTGATTGCCTATGCTTCTTTAGTTGAAGCCCCATGAGAAGAAGTACCCAGTGCATGATTTTGAGTTAGCAACTATTTTACACGTGCTCAAGGTTTGGAGGCACTACTTATTTGGCATGTCTTGTGAGGTGTATACGGATCACCAGAGTCTTCAACATCTATTCAAGCAAAAGGATTTGAGCTTGAAGCGACAGAGGTTGTTGGAGCTATTGAAAAACTATGATATCATCATTCTTTATCATCCGGGGAAGGCCAATGTGGTAGCCGACACCTTGAGTAGGAAGGCGTAGAGTATGGGGAGTCTTGCTTTTATTCAAACTAGGGAATGTCCCTTCGCTATGGATGTTCAGGCTTTGGCCAACAGGTTCGTGACGTTGGATATTTCGGAGCCTAGCAGGATTCTTGCTTGCATTGTATCTCATTCATCCTTTCTTGAGCGCATCAAGGTGCGTCAATATGATAATTCCCACTTGCTTGTCATTAGGGACACAATGCAGCACAGTGAAGTTAAGGAGGTGACTATTAGTGATGATGGGGTATTGAGGCTTCAGTGTTGGATATGTGTTCCCAATGTGGATGGCTTGAGAAAGTTGATTCTTAAGGAGGCTTATAGATTATGGTATTCCATTCACCTAGGCACTACAAAGATGTACCGTGATTTGAAGCAGCATAATTGGTGGAAAAGGACGAAGAAAGACATTGTTGAGCATGTTTTATGGTGTTTGAACTGTCAACAGGTTAAGTATGAGCATCAGAGGCCGGGTGGTTTGCTTCATAGGCTAGATATACTGAAGTAGAAGTGGGAGCATATCACTATGGAATTTATGATTGGGCTGCCACAGACTTTGAGAAAATTTGGTGTTCTGTGGGTCATTGTTGACACACTGACCAAGTCTGCACATTTCATTCCGGTCATGACTTTCTACACTTCTGAGAAGTTGGCTCGGATTTATCTTAGAGAGATTGTCCACCTGCATGGTGTGCCTGTTTCTATCATCACGGATGGAGAGAGGTGCATCGTAAGTTGGTCACATAGGTTGAGTTAAGTACGACATTTCATCCCCAAATGGACGGTTAGTCCGAGCATACCATTAAGATCTTGGAGGACATGTGGATCAGTTTCTACTGCTAGCAAAATTTACCAATAACAACAACTAGTAATGGAGTATTCAGATGGCTTCATATGGGACCTTATATAGGAGGCTATGTCATTATCCAGTTGGTTGGTTTGAGCCGGGGGAGGCTAGGTTTTTGGGCATTGATCTAGTTCGTGATGATTTGGAGAAGGTGGAATTGATTTTGGAGAAACTTTGTACAATGTAGTCTTGGCAAAAGATTTATACCGATAAGAAGGCTCGTGATGTGGCATTCATGGTGGGTGAGAAGGTTCTACTCAGAGTTTCGCCCATGAAAGGTATGATAAGGTTCAAAAAGAAGGGCAAGTTGAGCCCACGATATATTGGTCCATTCGAGGTATTAGAGAGATTTGGTGAGGTGGCCTATGGACTTGCTTTGCCACCCAGCTTATCGGGAGTTCATCCGGTGCTTAATGTTTCCATGCTCGGGAAGTACTATGAGGATCCGTCACATGTGTTTATAACTAAGTGCTGTTGGACAAGGATTTGACATATGATTAGGAGTCGGTGGTCATTTTCGATAGGCAAGAACAAAAGCTGAGGTCGAAGGATATTACATTGGTGAAGGTTCAATAGAGAGGTCAACCGGTCGAGGAGGGGACTTGGGAGACTGAGCATGATATGCGGAGCAGATATCCTCACCTTTTTGATATCTCAGCTATGATTCTAGACTCGTTTGAGGATGAAATTTTGTTTAAGAGAGGGAGAATGTAACGACATGATAGGGAATTTTGTGTATTTTAGCCCTGTTTCCCTATTTGATGTTTCTTGTGTGCTATATAGTTGTTTTGTGACTTGCAGGGATGTTTGGTTTGGTTTCAGGAAGGTTTTGGATTGAAATAGAACAGTGAGTTCCAATGCTGGAAGCTTAAGTTATAAGAGTTGATCAAAGTTTGAATTATGTGTTAACGACCTTAGATTTAAGTTCGTATGATGAGTTTGGACATAGTCGTTTGCCTAAAATTAAATTCGGAGGTTCCTAGTATGATTTGGCTCTTTTTGCCAAAAGTTGGCAATTTGAAGGTTTAGAAATTTCATAAGCTTGACCATGGATTGACTTTGTAGCTATCGGAGTCGGAGTGTTGTTATAGGACTTGAAATAGGTCTGTTTTGTCATTTAGACCTTGCATGCAAAGTTTGGTCTTATTCCGAGGTTGTTTGGAAGGAATCAGACACTTGGTTGTTGATATTGAAGTTCTTGAGTTTCATAGTTTGCATGATGCATTTTGGTGTTCGATTCGTGATTTTATGTGTTATTTTAATTTTCCGAGCTTGTGACTGAGTTCATATGAGGTTTATGCACTCGTGTGGATGTTTAATGTGGGGCCCGAGGGGCTCAGGTGAGTTTCAGATTTTTTTCGGAGTGGTTTGGTGAACTTCAGATTTGTTGGTGCTGCAGACCTTGCATTTGCGAAGGACTGCTTGCATTTGCCAAGGGCCAAAATTATGGACACCTTGTCGCATTTGCGAAGGGGGTGACTGCCTAGGGGAACTCCCATTTGCGAGGTAGATGGTCACAATTGCGACATTGAAAGGGCAGTAGGGACTTCGCAATTGTGAAGTATGGAGTCGCATTTGCGACATCTGCAGGACAGTCTGGGTTTGCATTTGCGAGTACTATGTCTATTGGCAGGGTTCGCATTTGCGAACCTTTTGCAAATGCGACATCTGCAGCTGGTTAATAGCTGAGTATTTTGGGGCTTAGACTCATTTTATGATATTTTGAGTCCTAGACATGGTGAGAGGCGATTTTTGAAGGAGATTTTCACACATAGCTATTGGATAAGTGATTTAACTTAATTTTGGATATCATATCTTGATTTTACACCAAAAGCTTGGAATTTGAAAGGGAGTTTTGGGGATTTTTGACTATGTTTTGAAAAATAAAAATTGTGAATTTGAGAGTCGAGTGTTTTAAAATCTAATCACATATTTGGACTTGTGGGTTGATGGGTAGTCCGGATCTACCCTTTATCTTTGGTTTTGATTGTGTGGTCCCAGGGTTGACTTTTATTGACTTTTCAGGAATTGGGTAAAGATTTGGAATTTATTGTTTGTAGTTGATTCCTTTAGAATTATTTGATGTTATTGAGTCAATTTTTGTTAGATTTGAGCTGGACGGAGGTGATTTTTAAAGGAAATGCATTTTTTGAGTATTGAATTAGCTTGTTTGAGGTAAGTATCTTGCCTAACATTG